GGAGGGAGGGAGGGAGGGAGGGTGCAACAGCAGCGGCGGAGTTGTAGATTTTGAGATCTGGTATGGCTAAGTGGGACGGAGTAACTGTTTTAGTTTTCGCATTACGTCTTCTCATAAAAGCGCTCAAATTTTAAAGGAGCATTGCTCAAAACAGTACATTTTAGTGAGAAATGATATGCCACAGATGATCTCTCTAAATTAGAACTGAGCAAGCAGAACAGCAACAATTGGTCATTTTTTCCACTACCTGAAGTTATTAGTTACTTATGTTTGCAGTGTAATGTTTCACCCATTTAAAATTACACTAGTGTTAGGCACACAGCAGCATACACAGCAACTTACCAGAAAAAACATTCGTGGCTGCATGACCTTCCGGGACAGCTTCATCAGTGTTCCCTCTTTCAGAAAGACCTAGCAAATTAAAACAAGCAATTCAAAACCTAGCTTTTCAGGGCACAAGCTGTACAAATGAGCTAATTTTTTCATCATCATCATCATTACTATTACTACTACACTAGAAGTGCTGCAGAAGTTTTGGGATTCAAGGTTCCCTTTCTGAGAAAGGCTGTTCATCCTTAGGTTTGTCTAAAAGTGAGTGTGAATGGCTGCATTACAGTTTTCCACGCTGCACTTGAAACCATGACAAATACAAGGTTAAGCTTGAGGAAAAAAACCTGCCTGCAAGATCTGGCAAGGAATCATATTCTAAAAATCATACGTTTTCATTAGATAAGTGTCTAAAAAAAAAAAAAACCCCACACATATGGAGAGGCAATATTCATTTGACTGTTAGAACTGAATAATTAAGCAATGGACCATTTTTCTGCTCGGTATATGCCAGCTTCAGTACTTTGCTTGCGTATCATCTGTGCTGCACTTTTACTGCAATCTGCTGAATGCCATCTGGAGGACCTACCCTTCCTGGCTGTACAATCTCATGGTGTCCGTTTAAACTGTACTGAATCTGCATGAGTTTCTGAAAGTTGTCCTACAGGGAGAAAAAGCAAAAGGTAAATAATTGCCCTTGCATCCATGACTTCCTTTCTTTTTTAGAAAACAGAAAAAGCTTTAATCAACCAGCTTCATCAGTCAAAATACTTACTCCCTGCTTCATGATGTCATTGGCATGGTTTGCAACTTCTATGACAACAGCTAGAGCATCTGAAGGATGAAGAAATGATGCTTTGGTTATACAGACTAGTTCGCATTGGTATTGTGTAAAGCACAGGTACAACATTGCCCTTCCACATCATGCCAAGATTCAAGGACCTGTTTGTACAGTCACTGCATTCAGGAGCACTTCCCATAGATCCCAGAGTCTTTGGATCATAGTTTAATAAGTGTGCCCTAGGAAGTCATTGCTTCAACCAACAGTGTCAATCATTTCTTACAGCTAATCAAAACAGTCCACATGAAAAATTAAATTCTCACACAAAGAACTACTTTAATTTCAATGTCTCTACTTACAGCAGAAAAGTTAACAACATTTTAACTGAGACTAATGTAGAGATTAAGTTTTTTCCATTTCACACAACTACCTACAGTGCCAGTCATGGAAAACTACCTAGAAAAATTATCCAAATCTTTGCGATTTCTTTCTTCTTCCTTTAGTTTTGCTGCACCTCAAGATAACAGTATAAAGTTCAAATTTCTAAATTTCAAACTTCTAATTCCAGCAGGAAAAAAAAAAATCTCTGAAAGAGAAGAGTTACCAAAGACAAGGGATTTTATTAAGTACTGATATTTAATAACTAGCAACTCGACCGCAATATATACTAAGGTATAACTGCACAAAGGGGTTTCATAAAAGGATTATGTAAATTACTGAACAGTGAGTGTATGAGACACAACCCATCCAAGGATCTTACCCAAAAACCTGTAATTTACTTAAGTAGAAAAAAAAGACTAATTTAATTGAAAGCTAGAACGACTGCTCTGATAAAATGTAGTCTCTAAAGCATTTAGCACCCTCTGAGTAATTGAAGTGCAGTCAGGCACTTCCAACAAAGGAACTACATTTGCTTAAAAGTCCACAGAGAAGCCTACCAAACCAGGTAAAACCAAAGCCTTGGGTTTTTTTTCCAGATAATCATTAGAGTATTAGTACTGTAGAATGCATATACTTCCCTTATTGTTGAGTTCATATTCAGAAAGAAAGTATATTAAAAGATACAGTTTTCTGAACTGAAAGGTGCAGAAGGTCATGAAGAAACTAAACTGAGGTGCGAACAAAAAGCTCCTCCTAAGTCAATCTAAGGAGATTTTTTGTTCAAGATTTTCATGAACCAAGGCAATGCAAGCACAGGAGTCAAACAGTTAAAAGGCATAGCACATATCAAGCATTTGATCAAAATTTAAGTTTGGATATAGATGTCATGATGCTAACTGAGCCTGCTGAAAAATAGCTGGTGGTCTTCTACTAGGAAATGTTGGAACTGTTCCAGCCAAAATATATCAAGCATTTGATCAAAATTTAAGTTTAGATATAGATGTCATGATGTCAACTGAGCCTGCTGAAAAATAGCTGGTGGTCTCCTACTAGGAAATGTTGGAGCTGCTCCAGCCAAAACACTCCCCAACTCCCATCCGCTTGAAAGAAAATGAAGGGAAATTTAGCTAAATCCATGAAGGCAGGAATGAGTACCTGAATTCTTTGTTATATTTTCCTTCATCTATCAGCTATTTTATCTATTAAAAACTTAAAATTTTACTCACTGACTTCAAGAAAGATTGAAGAATGTTAGAGAAAATTTGCTGGTTATTGAAGGGAAAGTTCCAGGATCTCAGGGCTGCTTATACAGCCAAGACTAAATGAATCTAAACAACAACATAAAATAATCTATAGGTTCAAAGTACATAAACAAAGTGAATTTTGGCAGGGAAGAGCATTCCAATTCTTATACCACTTAGCTGGAGTAATGTATTCAAATGAAGGTCATCAGGAAGAATTTTTTTGTTTGGGTTTTTTTTCCCCAAGAATACTAACCATAACCAAACCTAGACTTCCCCCCCCACCTCCCCCGCAATAGAATTTAACAACTAAGCAAAGTCAGAAGTAAATTAAGCTTAATTATCACAAGAAAGATCTTGGTGAGTAAAGATTAGATTTTCTTTTCTTACCCAGTTTCAAAGATAGACTACTGAACATGTCAAATGCATAAAATTAACACTGTTAATTGTTACAACCAAGCTTCTGCTTTTATCTTTGATGTATGAAGGGAGAGAAAAATACTATGGAAGGTACAACTACAAAAAACACAGACACTGGAAAAATCACAAGAAAATGTAAAGTAAAATATATATTTAAGGTGCTCAATTTTCAAGTGGTCAATTATTTAATGTGCAGTGCCAGCATTAGTTTGTTCACAGCCATAAGAAGTGCAAGACAAACATTTTTATCTCTTAAAGAGTCATAATTTAAAATATTTTTGGCTTATATTTTCAATATACTCAAACAAGTATGTCTAAATGTCCTAAGAAAGATATTTACTCATACATTTTACTGTACTGTATCAGCAGACAAAGCTGTAAGAAAGCAAACTTGGCTCAGTGCATTGAAGGTACTCATTTATTGCAGTCCAATCAACTACATCTGCACAGCCCTGTAACAAAGAAGCGACAGGGGCTCATGCAAATGAAATGGAAACACTGACTGGGAGCATTTTTAGTACTGCTGAGACACACACGTGGAAGAAGGAAATAGTCTGAATGTGCATTGCATTGCTACACTCAAGTTAAACCAACTTAATCCCAAGCTACCATGAAACATGTAGTCCTGTCCTCTTCCATCACCAACTATTCCCTCTCATTGCTTCTTATCCCCTTTCCCCCCACCTGCAGGCAAACTTGTGGAAGTCACTTGTGTTTGTGCAACTTGTGACAAGTCAAACTGGAGAACTCCTCAGGTTAAATATAACCCAGAGCAGCTCCTTGATCTTGTTCACTCCTGCCACATGAACACTTGTCCTGGCACAAAGAGAGGGGAGGAGGCCAGAAAGGCTCATAGCTGGGGGAGAGCAGCTGGTAGACCAGACTGCCTGTCATGAAAGGTCTACAGATGCAAGGACTGTCTCTTTCAATAGCAGTGCCCAAAATATCTGCTTAAGCTGCCTGTGGAACTTCACTCTTATCTCTTGGTTTCAACTCAAGGGTGAGCTGATACCACTGTCAGCTCCAAACTTTTTTGAAACACAAGTTTGCAATCTTTAAGTATCTCTGCTGAGAAACTTAGAACTAAATAGAAAACGTTTCTATTACTGGCTTAGCATTTTGCATGCGTTTAAAATTTAGAAATATTACCATAAGTACATAAGCTGTAATTTCTTTAATCTAAAGAGACATTTACCTTGAGTATCCCTATAGTCTGCAGATTCTTCTAAAAGATTCTTTAAATAATCTGTATAAAGAAAGAACAATATAGAGATAGTTTTGTTAAAGAAATACACAGCTCCAGAAAGTAGTAAAAAACACCTTTTTCCTGGAAATCTGCTTTTCAGGCAGACCTATTCCACAAAGATCTTCTACTTAATCTTTTAAAACTGTCAAAGTAATAACAAAAGGAAAACTAGCGATTCCATAATGAAAGTATATCATAACCTCTTGCTCAGGGAAGAGAAGGTTATTGAAGCAGTGGCCTTCTGCAAAGACAAATGATATGTTGTATATATTATTCCAGAACAAAACCAGCAAGTGAAAAATAAGTACATACTTGCAATTATTTACATTTAAGCTGATGCAAAAAATTTTGAAGATTACAGATATTTGCCTGAGCACCTAACTTGTCTATAGGAGCTAAGAAAAAAAGTAGTTCATTACAGGAGATCTGATTATGATTAGTATCTTTCAATAATAGAAGTGTTATACTTCCCCCGATGTTCAAATAGGCATTTTTGGTTTTTAATTATTTAGTTCCTCAACCACGAGATGGCACCCTCCATCCACTAAATTCTTGGTAGTTTTAAAATCTATTTTACTTAGCTAAAATTAACTCCAAATGCATGACTGTACAAGAAAACATCCCCCTCGAGTTTCTATTCCCTGGTCGAGTGTCTAGTTCACCAAAAAGTGCAATATCCTGTCAAAGATTAATATATATCCTCAGTAAAAAGTCAACCATCTATTCTCTACAAGCTACAACTCTGAACTGCTTAAAATTGAAAGAAACCAAATCAGAAACTTTCAAAGAAATATACATGTTAGATTGATAATATCAACAAATACTGATTTATAATTACCTTTTAAATGAGGTATTAAGATTCTGGCAGACCTACTGAAAACTAATTGTATGTGATCTAGCAAGTGTTCAATTTTAGCTTTGCAGTTGTACAAGTTTCATGTAGGAGTGAAATAATCCAACTCCCATATGTTCGCCCTACCCAAATTCATCCTGTTACTCAAGAAGGATCAGAAGCCAAGCCAATTGTTCCTGCCTTCATAAGATGTCTTGCTTCATGCATGCCCCTCAGAGACCGCTCAGTGTATTGTAATCTTTTCCTTATGCACAAAAAAAAGAGAGGGAATTATGAAACATGTTTCTGCAGTAGAAATGCTATGAAGAGTGAGAAATTTTGTCACAGTTAATGAAAGCTTTGAGAAAAACAGAACTACAGGAAGAAAAATATTTGGCACTGAAATTTTATTTTTTGGCAAAGACGTAAGGGAGGATCCAAGAGAGAAGCATGAAGAGCAGGTTGGGGTGAAGGAAGAGGAACTGGCTGGGGTCTCCTGCAGGGAAGCGGCGAGGGAGTGCTGGGAGGTCTGGCTGGCTGGGCCACGGGAACACCCACAGCTTTCTGCTCTCCTTGAAGTTCTGTCTGATCATTATCAGGCACTGGTCAACATGTGATCTTTTAAGTCAAGTCTGACAAGGCACCAAAACCTCTCCAGCTACACTCCATAAATATTGCATCCTTCACGTCCCTCAAGATCTTGTGCTGTAGTAGCTACCAGACATTCCAGTGCAATATTTACGTGGACGCATATTCCATTAAAAACAAAGTTTATCTTGCTTCACCTTGGGTTATGCTGGTAAGAAGCTGGTGTGAGAGGGGGAAAAAAAAAAAAAAATCAGCGGGAGGTATTTTGGAAGGAACTGAGAAGAGTTCACATTGTTTTTAACTTGGTTTAACCTAGAGGAACCTAGGTCACACATGCAACACCAGCTGCCCCCTCCTGCCCTGCCTGCTGACGGGCGCTCTCTCAAGTCGGAGCTGTGCCGTACAGCCCAGGCAGAGCACTCGTAGGACGCCACCATAGAGCAAACACGTTAAAGCTTTACAATTGCAATTTGATCTTCATCGGGGCCAGCACAAAGGACGTCAGTGGGAACCTCCCAGTATAAAGAATGAGTCCTCACATCTTATCCAGAAATACCAGCTTCTTAAAGCTGCCAACCACACACTCACCTCTACGGGCTGGGAACAAGGGGCGACGTGGGTATAATTTACTCATCTGCAAATGTACTGCTGGCACTGTCCCTAGTACATGGAGACATCCAATTTAATATCCAAAGTAATTGCACTGGAAACTTAAAACCAGAGACCCAGCATGGGAACTGTTTCTTAGCATATTCATGCTTTATGACGTGTTCCTCAAAACGACAACACTTTACATCACTCAAAAACATTTTTGGGTAGGTATTTTCTAGCATTTTAAATCACATCATCAGTGAATAGAAGAGGGAAAATTAGAGATTTTAACATACCCGCATTCATTTAAAATTCTGTATTTAAAAAGGAAGACAGCTTTTGCATTACGAGACTGAAGCAGCCAATAAAACTTGCAACTGTAAAATCCTGAAAGTGATAATTAATACTCTCTATGTATGTCTGGTAAGTGGACCTCACTTCATCACTAAAACTCAGCTTCAGAGAAGCATCAGAACAGATATTTTTAGTCTCTTCTGTGAATACACACTGGAAATTCTGTGCTTGCAACTACTTTCTGGAAGTACCGGCTTAAACTATACAGACAAGTGGATTTCACAGACATGAATAATGTTACAGTAAAAATTCAGCAAAAATATTCCTAGATAAAATAAATACAGAAGTCAAATATTAAGGTGGAATGGTATCTACTGTCTTCGCCAAAAAAATTTTCCCCTCTGAAATGTGCTTTAGTTGTTCAGACTAGGAACACCTTAAGCATACCTTCAGAAAGGCAGGCTTAGAAATTAAAATTCATAACTCTGCTGGATACCCCAAAACACAACAAAAATCAACACAAAAGCACAGAAGTACTGTTTCTGTGACGAACAAAATTTCCTTATGCCCTGCTTCCACCTGACAGCAGCCAGCAATTCTCTATTCCTTCTTGCTGGGGGGCAGCGACTATCACTTCTTCTCCTGCTAAAAATTCTCTTCTGCTTCATTAACTACTTTTTGTCTCAGGTTGTCTAATTTAATTAAGTTAAACTCAAAGCAATCATTCCCCAACATGTAATTGGCCTCCAGTCTGACAACTCTATTTCCGACCTGCAAAGAAGCAGTGTGCTCAAAGGCTTATTTTTCATCCCCCTCAGCCTCCCCAGTTAAGGATAATAAAAGACTCTCTCTCTCTGCAAACCTTATGTTGAGAAAAAGAGGAGAGAGGCTTATCGTATAACAATGAAAAGCCTGTTCATATTGTAGAGTCTCAAGTTATCTACTCAAATCAGAGGGTTTTGGGAGGAGAGAATCGCCTCTCCTTCATTTCTATTAGAAATCAGAGGCCTCTAATTAACCTTCCCAAAAACCCATCTAATATTTGCTGTATAGAGCTCGGGGCCAGTATGTAGAGAAGTGGAAGTTCACTTGCTGGACTGGAGAAGCCGTATAATTAAACAGAAACACAGCTGAGCTGTGCCTCTCCTTGCCTGATTTATGAGTCCACCTGCTCCTGCTTTTGTTAGCACAAAAGTAACTCCACTTCAAAGCACAGCAACAATCTTGTGATGTGACCGTGTAGCAGCAGGTTACCAGTACAAAGCTGTCCCACTCACACAGAGCATCTAAATAGGAAGAAATCCCTGCTGACTCAGGCCTCGCAGCTTCATTTCCTGGATTATTTTCGCTCCCCTGCTCTTACCCGCTGCCCCCTCCTCCCTTGCCCGCAGGTCCCCCCTGTCTTCAGCTGGGGCGGCTGCTGCATCACTGCATCTCACCCACTGCAACAATAGCTCCAAGTATTTTGCACTTCCTCCAAAGGTTTTGCAGCACAAGTGTCAATAGAGACTGCTCAATATTACACAGAGCTGCTGGAAGGTAACAGAGCAGATGGGTCATCCACAGAGATACGGAAGAGTGAGAATCTCAAGGACAACAGAAATGCATGATAGATGGAGCAGACTGACAACGAAACAGATCCAAAATAACACTCCCCAGCCCCAGCATAATTAAATTCTTAGTCTGACCTCTTTTATTGCTCCCATAGAACAAGAGAAAATTACTTTTCTAAATCAGCAGCCAGCACTGCAATCCCATTCCTGTCAAACAGCATTTGCATTTGCAGGTGTATTTAAAGCTGGGCAGCCACAGCAATGTCTGCAGACTGGGGACACCCACAGCAAACCCCACCCCCCCCGAATGAGTTTTTTCAGGTCTACAACACTCTGTCCTAGCCATAATGACAGTTAATGATCACAAGGAATTCTGAGTTTTGTTTCAGTGCCATTCACCCCTGACTTCTCTCGCTTTGCTATGTATATTGACAACGGCATTTACTCCATCCTGATCCTCTGTTCAACCTTTTTAACTAAAACCTTTGAACTTACCCAAAGCTCTGCTGATTTTGGAGTAACAAGCCTATACCATGCCCTGAGTCAGTATCCTTTTAAAATAAAGCAACTCCCCAAATGCCGTTTTATGGCTTGACTTCATCAATTAAGAGTCACTAAGATTTTCCCCTACAAAGTAGTCCATTTAATAAGGGTTTTTCACCCTTTTTCAACACCTGTGAATTTAATGAGATGATTAAAATGAAAACAGTAAATGTTAATAACTTTGTAACTGCTGTATAACACTTAAGTCTGTATCTCCCACAGCATCACTAGTCTAAGTACTTGCTGGGGAAATGCCAACAAGCTGCTACAGAGCCAAAAAAAAAGGTCACAGAGCACTTTATTTTGCAGTTACTACATAAACAGAGGCTATTTTTAAATTGCTCATCAAGAAGCAATGGCTTTCAAAAACAATGCCTTAAGTATTTCCAAATCCTTACAGGAGCCATCCCCCTCTTACAACAAACAACACATCTCAAAATACTTCACAAAGGAGGCCTCTATCACTGCCCTCCTTTTACAGAAAAGAAAGCACTGCATCATGGAGATGATTTGCTCAATGCCTCCCAAACATGCCAGTGCCAGAGCAGGGTATAGAGCCCGGATTTCCTAGTCCCAAGCCAGCTCTTCAGTCTACAATGCCCCTGCAACAAGTCTTAAGCACTTACTGGTAAACATAGACTAAAAACATGTGTTTTGCCTTTAAAAGAGAATGGATTTTACAGACAAAACACCTGGGTGGGGAAGAAATGGAAAACCTACTTGCCGAAGTTCACAGTTGCATAGACATCTTTCACTTCCTTCTCCTAGCTCCAATCTTCCATACTACCTTTTTCCTTCATAAAAAACCAACCAAACAAAAAAACCCCCAAAACAACAGAAAAACAAAACCCAAAGCAAAACAGGAGCACTCCAACCCTCTAAGGAAATTACGGGCTTCTATTACCACAGAAACAAACAAAAACCACCACAGGTTTCATGTTTTCCAAATACTGCTGAATGTAGCATCAGAGAACACACCACAGTGTTGGGAATATTAGCACCTCGCTCGTGTATGTTATTGCAATCAATATTAACAAAGAAACCCTCTAAACCCATGCCACGTTTTTAAAAAAGCTTCACATATCTGAAGTCAGATAAACACGCTTTACAGATGGATACAATCGCCTGAAAACAAGTTTCCTGGGACGTGTGAAGACTGGCTTCTTAAGCCTGCAAAAGAGCTTGACTGTACCTGTCAACAGGAGCCTGTACTGGGGAATCCTCTGAACTGGCTTGAGCAGATAGTGCTTGAGGGCCAGACTAGCACAGCGGGGGCTCATCTGAAAGAAACACCCAAAATAAGTAACGATTCTGTGGTAGACAAGGGTTCCAGCAAAACAAAACATACCTACAAACAGCTACCCATTACATTGGATAAGCTTTATCTTAAAAAGGTGCAACTACCACAGTGTTAAACACCACACTGCAGAGCAAGCATTTCCATGTGGAAGACTGCATGCAAAATTAATCATGCTTTAAGAGACATTGGTAAGCACTCATACTCTGTGGATTCAAAACAGGTGCTTTTGCTTATGAGGAAGAGAGGTGAAACTTCCCAGAAATAAAGGAAACACTGGTGGCAAGGTGTGGTGGTACCTCTAAATCACTCATTCACGACACAAGGGCAACATGCTCCTTTGTAATCGCTGTCAGGGTCCCTTAGGCAGAAAGGCAGACATGACAGCAGTGCTCACTGCAGAAGTTTTAATTAATCCACACCTCTAAAGACAACACAGAATTAAAAGATCTGTGCTTCAAAAATGTTAATTATCTTGAGTTTGCATTCAAAATAACGTGCATCTGAAACACCAAGTCCTTAAAAAGGCCTCTTATCTTCTTCCTGTCTTTGCTGGCTCTACCTCAAGCTCTTCCTTTGCCCACTGTCAGTAGCCTTTCGAACCATCGTAAGCAGACAGAGCAGGGATTACCCAAGGGGAAGCCCGAGTAATAGGAGGTAAAGTCACAGTTTGTGTGGATCATGTACTTAGGGAGCTTGCACCTCTTCTCTGATTTGTTTTAAGGGAGTTATGTAAAAATCTGGCTATGCTCTTAGGGAAACAAATCAGCTTTCATCCGATAGCTGCATGTGCTGGGTTTGAAACTTCTAGAAATATGCAGATGAGAAAATTCACTTTTTTTATGTTTCCAACTGAAATGAAACACCATTCCTATGAGTAAGCTACTGCCCTATGATGTGGTAGAGAAATCAACCTGGTTAAAATAGGACAGTTAATCGGTGCATAGTACGATCAGGAGACAAAACTAAAAAAAAAAGCAGCTAGAGATTTTGTCAATGTGTCTTTGATATAAGTTGTAGCAAGCACTGCATTTTCTGAAAATCAAGGTCCTTTATCATATCTCACAGTGGTAGCCAAAATCACTAGTTACTTCACAAAATCTCAATTTACTTCTTTCCACTTCCACCCTACTAAGTCTCAAGCCAAGACTGCAGCAAAAAAACCGCAAACAAACCAAACAAATTGGAGGATAGTCTCTAAAGCCTGATGGAGGATCACAACTGCTGAAAAGCCACAAAATAGGATATATCTTACAAAAGACTACAGTACCTCAAAGTCTTTGACTACTGAAGCAAAACCTGCATTCTTCTTACACTGTTCATCTAATAGTGCAACATTTTTATCAAATTCTTTGATGTAAGTTGAATACATCTTTAAGTAGGGACCCTTTTTAACAAATATATCAGCAATTCTTTGATGTTCAAGCCTAGAAACAAAAAATAAAGCAATTAGAAGGAGCTAAAAAGAGTGTACATCTTAACCCTACAGCAAAACATCTATCTTTTTCACAGTAAGATGTGTTAGTTTATGTTCTGAACAAAAAGCTTACAGTTCAGCAGACAGGCATACATCTCAGTAGCTACTCTGAAAAACCTTACCAGGCACACCTTGACACACTAGTTTAGTGTTAGATGACAACCACTCAATACACAGTCTGTTTAAAATGGTCTTGAACCATTCGAACACAAGCTGGATTTCTGAGGAGACAGACTTTCAAACTTCAAGATGCAGTCTCGATCCCTTAATAGCAAGCATGGGATTACAGTCTTTACCCATTTCAGTGCCTTTGTCGGTAGGCTTTGTGTAGCTGATTTAGATCCACCCACCAGTGTAACTGAGAATGGACTTCAATGGGATTGTGGCTGTCAATCAGCGCTGTGTCTGGTTAGTAGATCTCAACTACCTTTAAAATGCAAACCTGTTTTCAGGACAGCCTCCTTTTCCTCTAATGAGACCAGTCCACTTACCATGCCCATACAGGGACCAGAATTTTCAATTAAAAATGAAATTTTAAATAAAAAAGCATGATTGCTAAAAACATGTATTGACGTGCCTTCTGGACCCTTCTGGATACACCTAAATGCCAAAAAGTACATCTAAATGGAAAATTATCTCCTGTACTTTCACAATCAATTCTGTCATTTAAGAAGGCACGTGAAACACAAGTAAGAGTCAAACCGTGGTCACATGGAGTCCCACATAAGCCCCACAGATAAATTTCAACATCATCAAAGGAGTGGTATGCCTTTATTGATATTCACCAGTGAGATAACCGCTCCTCCAGTTCCCTCAGGAGGTCCCGATTGAGTTCGTACAGCTGAGGTAGGTAGTACAGGATCTGATTCAGGATTCTGTCCTCAATCACTGGCTTTCCAAGCTGCCTAGAGGCATGCGCCACAGCGTCCCGGAAATCCTGCCGGAGTACAAAGAGGACAGAAACCCCCCTTCCCATGAGCGAACAGCCTTCAAAGCACCAACACAGACAACGGCGTTCCCTCTGCAGACATTCCAGGCACTGCTCCCTATTACCAAAGGCAAGGCCGGTACCATCTGGGTTATGTTTCTTTGCAGCTTCAACTTACTCCCCTGGGACTGCCTTAATCCCTTTGGTTTGACGCTGGAGCTTTATTTTCTTGCTCCTGTATGCATAATATAGTTGTTCATTATTTTTATAACATGCCCTTAAGAAAAATGCTGGTACTACATATAAGGAAACTAAGGGGGGGGAAAAAAGCTTGTATGTTGGCAGCCTTGAGTATCTTCTTGCTACTACTTGGGTCAAAAAGCAAAAACGTCTATCAGCTAATACAATCATAATACCTTATTTTAAAATCATACTAGTCTTCATAAGTCCTCCACAAATGCCCTTTTGGAAGATGTGCCTCTTGGACAAAATGTAGGGTCACAGAAAATTACTATATGTAGCAGCTCTTCTATATAGAGGAAAATTGACATCTAACAAAAAGATATTGTAACAACATATGGGAACCACGGGATTTCAAAAGTTAACGATGATCAAAAACAACATTGGTACCTTCAAAACATTTACAGGAAGGAGGAAAACCTCGCTTACACTTGAAGGATCTTCTTATAGCATTTTTATGCTATAAGCTCCCAACAGGACAGAGCTGAGGCTTATTGATCCTCATGAAATTATTTAGAATTAAAATCTTGGCCCCACATAAGTCCGTACTGCCAAGATTGTATCCATATTGAAACTCAGTATCCATTACATGAGGTATTCTCCCTGATCACATGCAAACAAAATTTTCAAAAAAGATTAGCAATTTAGCATTTCACTTGAAAAATAACACTGTCTAAACTGACAAAAAAGAAGGTGGTGCACTGTATTATCATGTCTCGCTTGAATTTGTGCCACAGTGGAAAAAAGACAATCCGTAATAGCTCTTTTTGAGTTTGTTGTCTGCTGAAACCTGGTAACGCATGCACAATCTACATATCCTGAAAAAGGTGACCAACAACACGTTCCTAAGTTCAACGATGAGTTATGTTTTAAATGTGCATGGGGTCCGCCCCTGCCTTTGAAAATCTGTAGGGTCCTCAGGTTGAAAGGGGTGAGGGGGTGGGGGAAGAAAAAAATTCAGTCCCCTCTTTCCCCTTCCCAGGTCTACTACTACAGGTCTTACTAGCTACCTCATCAGTCCAGCATCTGGCACTATTTAGGGTCTCCCAAACTTATGCCTCAACTTTCCCCTGCCCTCTCTCCTCATTACATCAGCTCTGGGCAGTGTGAGCTCCAGACACACTCTCTTGCTTTGTGACCCTCTGGGTCGTGAGGCTGTGACTGGGCAGAGTTATGACAAGAAACTGAAAAGAGATACAGGGTGATGCCTGTGATGGGGGAAGGCTGAGAACTAAATGCAAGGGAGTTAAAAAACAGATGGCGTTATTCATATGGAAATGTTCTGTTTTACATCCTCTGTGCAGACTAGTGACACATAGGTTAACTACCAGCTGCATCTTATGGGTTTTCCTGACCCCAGGGCATTGCTTAACACTGAAATGATACATGGAATTACAATGGCAAAAGCTCAAATGAGGCATTCTGGAGAGCTTCATGCAAAATGCATCATCATATTATGATAATATTCTCTTCCCTTCCCCCCCAATCACATGCACACACAATGTACTGTATGTACTTTGCCATAGGATGAAACAAGAATTTTGTCTGAATGTTATAAGGCTACTTGCATGATGAAAAGAAACAGTTTTGTCTTAGCGTGATCAACAACCCAGGCTTCTCCCTGACCAAACAATAAAAGGAGAGCAGGGAGCCAGGTTTAAGCACCAGTAGATAAGACAGGAATGTCATTTGTAGTTAAGAGCATTTATTTAACTTCTAGATACAGCATTCAAAGAGTTTGCAGGATGTTTTCCAAATACAGATTTGGTTTTTCAACTAGCTTGATCCAAAGTCCATCAGCTTCGTCAGGCTTTGGATCACACCATGAAAGACACTACCGTTAAAACAGCCAACCAAAACTTTGTTTCATCACCCCCTCCGTCCCCCTCCACAACTGAGTAAACGGAGGAAGCCCTGCAGAGAGGAAACGCAGGGAAGAAAGATAACGTGAAGCTTTCAAATGATGCAAACCAGCCTGCTAAACAACAAAAGAGCTAAACTTCAACACTTTTTTTTCTTTTTCTTTTTTTTTTTGAATTATCAAGTCTTCACTACAGAAGCAGTACAATGCATTTGTCACTGTAATCACATTAAGATTTATTTTTAACCTGGCAGTGGGTGTGAAGTAACTGTTATGCCAAGTTCATCTTGAGAAGGCAGAAAGCACATGCCTGAGGAGTGGGGGTAGGAAAAGTCAAACAAACGTAACAAGGTTGGATTTAACAGTGTTTACACTTGATGGTGCTGGCCTTCTGAGAAAGTAATTTCTTATCCAAAAGGACAAAACACAGAATAGCTCTGTTTTAATTACTGAACGTAAAATATATTAACTTTTCACTCCGAAGGGTGGAACATATTCAGAAAAGGACAACTTTTTATACAAGTAGGTGAATGACTTAGAAATTAGAAATTGCAGTGATAGTCATTTAATGCACCGGAACCTAATTCCTTCTAAAACTAAATCCGTTCACTGCTAAATAAAAACAGAATCGCTGTCGCAAATAATATATATATTGCTCTAATATTTATATATACCTGCAAGAAGTGATTCATATTACAAACCCATTTAGCATAGTACTATGTAACACTGCTGAAGAGCACTGCTTTCATCAGTCTGTTCAAAGACAGTCACCTGAGTTGTCCTAAAAATTATTCTATTTGAAGCAATGCAGCAATCCATTACAGTGAATTTTTAAAGAGAGAGATTTTCTAATTAAAAATGAGCCTTTCAAATATTACAATCTTACTCATTAAAAAAACCCTTGCCATGCTTTGAAATTAATGTTCTTATTTCACTGAAAAACACCATTTGCAACTCTAGACAAAAGTTTCATATGCTGCATGACAGAAAATAAAAGATTATGCTATTTATACTGAATCATCCCAGCTTCTTACCAGGATACCACTTTCTGAAAAGCTGGCTTACAGTTTCTAGTTCTACGTTATATTCTGGTCTAATAATAATCTTCTGATACCGCTTTTTACTGCTTAAGCAAAGGCAACTGTCTTCACACAGCTACTTTAAGAGGACGGCACTCATCACTGTCCTTGGAAAGCACATTCCTTCCAAACCAGCAACAGTCTTAGTTTATTCTAGACTAAGACAGCATCCCACTGGGTACTTGTCCATATGAAAATCTAGTTTAGACAGTTTTAAAGGCTTCTGAGTACACATTGTTGCTGAATTACTGCCTGATAAAACATTCCCAACCTGAAAATGTTTAGGGAATTTTATTTATTCTATTAGCATACGCTCCCCCTAGAGCTGTGCAGCTTTCAAACAATATTTGAGGAGGATACCACCATCGCTGCTTTTGTTTCCTCCCACCCCTCCTTCAATGCAGCTTCCTTAAATAAGCAAAGGGCCGTGATATCTGAAATAATTCTGACCCTGTTGTGAATCATCTGCGACCAGCCCACGCACTTCCCCTCTGCAAAGGCCCTGACTCACAATCCCTCTCAGTTCTTTCCACCCAGCACGCAGCGAAGTGACCTGCCCGTGTCAGTCTAAGGAGCAAAGGAACAAGTTTAGTTGTTAAACCAAAACAGGTACTGACCAGACCAAACCCTCACTCAGCTGCTGGCTGGGTTAAGCGCACCTTCAGGTATCTAATAGCTGAATGAAGATAATTTCAAATGGGTGAAATTAAAATTTCTTGTAAATTTAACTGGAAGAGAAAGAACTACATGATCTAAATGTGGTCACACGTATTTTACTCCTAAGGCTTCAACCAATATTCGTCTTGGATCTGTTGTCCTAGAACATACCATCAGCAAAGCAAAAATAAGCCTTAATCCCTTCTGCTGAGGTACAACTCCCAGCTAAATACACCTGCAGATAGCTCAAATATCAGTTTAATTTAAGGGAAAAAAAAATGTTTGCACTTGGACGCTTTTCAAGGAACACACACACACACACATCCTACTGGAGGGAGGAGGAGGGAAGGGGAGGAAGTTTTACACTCTGGGGAACAGCCAGGCTGCTATATGTGACAAGCTGTAAACACGACTGCTAGGAATACAGCTAAAGACAATTTCACGAATACGTTATTTAAAATATAAATAGGCAGTCTTAATTATAATTAGACTATTAACCATAGACTGTTAAGGTAAACTATTGCAACAATAGTTAATGAAGACCATGAGTAAGTGTGGATCATGACGTTTTTCAAATATATGAGATTGCTTCTGGAAAGCTGCCAAGTAGTTCCACACCTTTTTCTCAGGTAGTAAAATAATTTATAAGTGTTTAACAATATAATATAGTTAATTTTTTACAATAATCAGTAATTTGACTGTGGCATATTCCCAGAATGTTATTTCAAGGAATAGGCTGGGTAGTAGAGCAGTGTTTCCTTCCAAACCAAATCTATTTCATTAGCCTTTTTAGTAACATAACTACAGCTGCAATTCATTGTCAAATGCCTCAATCAGCAATTCTAAAGTACTTCACAGACTAAAAATTTATCAACATATTCAGCACAGACCGGTCAAATATTAAAGTTTTACAGTTAGAGAAAAAGGAGTTGGAGGTTGAGAGAATTTTTCACAGCCGAACAGTAGGTCAGTTGTAAGCCAGGACCAGAGGTCAGGACTTCCCTTGCTCCAAAACCCATAGCTATTTTATTCCTCAATATGCATGTGACATTCTTTTTCCAAATCTACTATGAATTAATTTTCACAATATTTGGCTACAATATGCAAAAAGTCTAAGTTATAATTTTGCAAATGTCTTCTGAAAATGGAAACATATTAAACCAGAATTTCCCACTCTTGTAAGTGCCTCTGGAAGGATACACAATTAAAAAAAAAAAAAGTTTGACCTCTTATCTACCTTCCCCAATAAGAAGCTGATCTTGATCTTGTGGCTGCAGAAAAGTTACAGGTGCCTCCTGACAACCTCCTACTTGCTCTGAGAGTCCTAATAAGGACAGAACTGGGGTCTAAGTCAGATGTGCAGATCTAAAGGCTCAGGCAAAAGCCCGAAGGGTTAAGCTTTTCTTTGCTCACACAGCACAAAGTCATACACTAAGCCTCACAAATGAAGGAGCCATCCTAAGAGGCATGTTCCTCTGCTGGATCAGAAGCCTCACTGCCCATACGGTAGCAGGAGGGGAAACGAAATCAAGGAGAGTGGTGGGTTTCGGCAAAAGAACAAAATTAGGAACAAAAACAGACAAAAGAAATGACAGCAAGTAAGCCAGGCAGCTCACCCTTACGGCAATAGGGTGCTGCTGAGGAGGTCCTCTCGCTTGTGCAAAGCAAACCATTTCTAAAGAATCCCACAACCAAGAAGTACAAATGGCACCAATCCTGCCTTACTCCTTTTCCAGGAACACTAGGTGTTTTTTGGGCACGGAGCATCTCAGACAGCGGTGACAAGCTTGTTTCTCTTACGTCACTTATGTTTTACATCCAGTTCACAGTTCCTTTTTTTCCTGCAAGTGCCCTTAGGGAAGAAACAGCACTTCTCGCATCTTCTCAACCCTTGTTTACCCTCTGGAGGCCATACAGATGAGCTGGTTTAATTTAAGCCCTTTTGTTTTCAGGAGTTTCTAACAGCATTTTACTGGAATCTTGTCCTCTAAGAGAGCATTTACGATAGTTACAGAAATACAGAGAATTCAAGATTACATCTAATTACATCCTCCCTCAAGCAACCCCATTCACCGAGTATGTTTGAGAGAGCATCAGCGTGCAAAGCCAGTTAAGTCCCCTATCTCTGTTATGACCAGCTTATTTCGTATTACAGAAGTGTCCCCAAGTGTTCATCGTTTTCTAGAGAACTTTTGTAGTCTGTCTTCAACAGAAGCAGCCAGGTGTACTTACAAAGTGCGACAGCATCCAAATAGGCTGGCACCCTGGTATCTTGGAAGAGTTGTTCCACCTAACTTGACTTTGTCAATATAAAAGAAAAAAATGCTACAAAAAAAAAATCAGTGGTACTTGTAACCAGTTTGCAACCACATTCCCACCTTCTCATCTGCTTTCGACACCACTTAAAATGCTCTAGGCAGTAGTAACTTAAAAACCTTTTTCTTACATCAACAGTCCTGTTCCCTGGCTGTACTAAGAGCCATGAGCTGCATTAACTGGCAGTGGTAAGACAGACTGAGGAGAATACTATTAATTTTAGATCATCACTAATGGAATTAGTGACTAAATGTCAAGTATTTACTCTTTGGAAAATGACTAATAGATGGTTCAGAAGGTGTAATGGAGCCTCACCTGACCAGCCAAACCTTTACTATGGCTAAAACAGTCCAGCCTCGGGAGAACCTAAGTTTTAATTCCAGAAATCTGTTGGAGGTTGCTTGACTGGCAGTTAGTAATCCTGACACTGAAGCCAAAGTGGTTCAGTACAGGTAAAATCAAAAGGGTAGTTTTATCAACGTTTAAATATTATCCAGAAGAAATATATGATTAAATAAACAGACTTAAGAACGTCTGTGACAAACATACATAAATCCTCAGGCGTACCACTCTGTGTAGATAAAACAATGTGTTTCTGCAACCTTTCTCAGGTACGGCAATTTTTATTTAATGAAGAATGCACACACAGAGAGAGCTTCAAAACTGGTGCCCAGTCTGACAAGGACACTCACCAAGGTTCACGCTGCAGGCGCCAACGGACAAGTTGAGGGCAAAGTATTTCCTCGACTCCCAGCCTAGCATCCTCTCTGTCAGACCAGGTTGAATACATGTCAATTGTTATTGCTAGCCAACAAAAACATTTCTAACGGGTTTTTATTTGGCAGCTAGAAACTAGCATGAATAGAGTTGCGAGTTATCCATTAAAACAAAGCAAAACACATCCTACAGCACTGCACATTTACAGACAACCTGAAGTTTATCCCAGAAACTTCCTAAACTCCTGACTACTTTCCCTCTCCCGCATTCTTCCTCTGCTTGCTTCCATCCTCTGCACCAACGGCCTTTGCTTCCAGTACTGTGCATGTTACCTGAAGACCTGGTACACTGAAAAGTGAGGACACCTTCAAGATATAAGTTATATGCCTCAAAAATATTATAATGAAAAATCATATAGCTTAAAGCTTGTTTCTTCCTTTAGCCAGTATTTAAGCTTGAGTTCTGTACTAGAAACCATGTTGAATATAAATTATACATTGGCCGCAACTGCCTGACCCAGCTGTTAAAAACCACGGCTCAACAGAATAAGAAAATCAATTACTGAAATGGAAGGCAAAAGAGGAATCAGGAAGTGGTGTGGTTAAGTTTTTTGTTTCCTGAAAGATCTCCATATTACAGGACTATATACATTCATCTATAAGAGCCTTTGTTCCCACTTTCACAGAACATGCTTCTCAAGAGACTAAGATAGACTAACGCATCTGTTTGCAATATAATCACTTATATTGCCCAAGGAAAAAAATCACTATGCTTGCACTTAATAGAATGAGAAAATGGTACAAACACATATCACTTAGAAGCTCACAGAAAACACATAAAATGGAGCTAGAGAAAGCTAAATTCTTCATTAATTTACTATTATCACCTTCTACACAGCATGTTTAACAGATGACTGGTCTGCATAAGCATGGATTAAATACTTAACCCTTGCTGTGGAGAACATATTGCATACACTACAATCACAGCTGTTATCAGAAAGCAAGCATCTGCAAAGAATTGCAGCCCAAAAAAAAAATGCTGCCAAGGTGATGGATGCAACATTAGAGCTAATTAGTTAGATTACCTAAAGAATGTGTATTTTTATTTACCATTTCTAAAGGTAAACTGTTCCCACTCCCCCCCTTACTTTAAAAGTTATTCTAACAAAAGATTTTATTTTGGTTGCTATGGTACAAGCTGGCTTATAAATATGATGCTGATTAACATAAATGGATATATATTCCATTTTCAATACTCAAGCAATACCCCCACTCATCTGGAAGACCGCATACATTAATTAAGGAGATGTAGGAGGAACCATCAAAATATTCATCCATTATATACAATCTGAAACTTGAAACTTCTGCTTAATTAGATTAATTGTTTATGTTTTGAATATGTAGATACAGCAGAAAAAAGTCACATTCACTACAATAAAGCCTAAACATAGAACTTTAACAGATTACACATAGAAGAGGAAGCTGCTTTTTTTTTTTTTGATACTTACAATGTGTAAGAGCTTTAGCACATCCACAAACCTATCAGAAAAGCAAGAAAAGGCAAATAGTTACATTTTAATTGCCCAATTAAAATAAACTGAGTAGCTGTTAAGTTTAGCATTGACACTTACACTTTCTCTGAGCTCATGATCTCCTTGGCAATATGGTAAACCTTTGTTTTCTTTCCAGCTGCCTTACTCTGCAAATGAAATTATATGTTACACTATGCACCTATTAAAACTGTCATAAAGATCATTTCAGGCTAGTAGTTCCTCAAATCCAATGTAATTATTCTATAATTACTTCTAATAAAAATGTTTTATACTGCTTTGTAATCTCCTGGCTTTGAAATCTTCTGGCTTTTCAGGATCTGTGAGAAAATCAGTTTAGGTTGTAGCTCGAAACAACAATGCTAGCTAAGAGTAGTTTTTATAACACTATCAGCCTTTCTATTTAATTATTACAGGAAGCACTGAAGCCCGTAACGAATGAAACTCTAGCAAGTGACAATTACAAGTTAGCGAAAGTAGTAAAGTACAGATAATATTTGTATATTATTCAATTTTTTTTCCTGATTAATACAGCAACAGTAACATTTGCAGTAAACTCAAATGGGTTTCAGGAACATCTTAGAAGAAATTCACATTTTCTTTACTGAAAAAGAAGATGAAAGGAGAAGAGTATCACACTGAAAAGTCAGCTTCTGACCACCTACTAAAGGAGTTGCTGAAAAACATAGCAACTGTACTGCAAAGCTGTATAAGCACGAGCCTTGCCATCTATCTGAAACACTGTGGAGATGACGATGTTTTTTTACGTGCACACATTTGGCTTCCAAAAAAATCAATGCTACTGTTCAACATCAGCTATAAGGAACAGGTTTAGCAAAGCAAAAGGGGGTAGGTGTCAGGATACAAATATGTTTTGTATAACTCCCGTGTATAATTTCCCTCAGATAAAACACCTTTCGCTGTAACAGCTCTCACGGTTTGTCTTCTGCCAGCTATCACCACATCTATTAGATATTCAGGCTTTCATTTCAATGGGCTGCAAAGAAAGACCTTGGGTGAGGAGCACTAAAACATCACAGGATATACAACAAAAGTGCGATGGAAGTCCTGGGGAGACTGTCTGGAGTATGGTAGTATAATATAGGCATTGAACACTTTATCTAGAAAAGCAGGTATCGGTGGCATTGCATATACGAACCTTTGGTTCATAAGCACTAATGTTGCAAGATTCATCTGGAGTTTTAGGTCTTCTCCAAACCTATAAACAAGTCTCAAGTGCTAGAAATCAAATCATGGAACCGATGATATTCATAGGTTGGTTTTAATGATACTGTTATATTAAAAATAAAAAATCTAGATTATTTTTTCATTTGAATTTAATTGACACAGTGCTAAATTAAAATTAATTTCTAAATTTAATAATTTGGTGTTGCATCATATATATGCAAAATATATTATTTATTTTATATACTACACAGACATCTTCACACAGAGCTGGGATTTTTCTTCTAAAATTAAACTTATTTCCAAAAAACAATTAGATCTACTCAGCGAGGGTCAACCGGATTCAGGCGAGATTGTAACACCCATCCTCAGGCCTCGATGCCTTTTTAGAAAGCACAGCTGACACGCTCCCTACAAGACTGAATTCACAAGTAACTCAATTATGCAGAGCAAGGTATCTGCCATCACTGTAGATGTGACAGTCGCAAATGAGATGAAAATTAGTATTTTGAGAACAAGATGCTAACACTAAACAATTACAAAATGAAATATCACAGTCTGTTTTCAATCCCATTTGAAAGATTTTTCACATACCAGCTGGCACCGAAAAGGCCACTTTGCATTTGCTCAGCCAGAGATACTCTGGGCCTAAGAGAGCCTCTAACGGGAGAACCGAAGGGACACAAATTAGGCTCTCAGGCACAGCATTGGGAAGGAACCTTGTAACTCCTCTAACAGATAAAAAGCATCAAAACACCCAGATGCTTGTGGTAAGGGAAAATAAAAGCAAGCCCAGCTGATGACCGATGCAGGGACTGCTTCATTCTCCTCTGCAGCTGCTCTCCCTGTTAGGAAGTTGGTTGTTAATCCCCAGCTGCCGGCCGCACGTGCCAGCAAGCCGACGAGCAGATGTGTCACAGCAAGCGCTGATTGACTCCGTGAAACCTGCCCGAGAAGCCCCGTAACAGGGACACTTTCCTGTAAAACTCCGTTGTGAAAGGTTGAGGGCATTTCTAGAGGCACGCAAAGTAAGTTAGCTTCTATACAGGTACAGTCCTGCTTAGTTTCACAGAAACAAGCTTTTCCCTCCCCCAATTTATTCCTCAGAAGATTTGTTAAACGACATTCAGGTCTGACACATCATCATCAAGTCTTCTCTTCCAGCACTAAAAAGTCTCATTGCTTTTTTTTTTTTTAAATTATTATTCATTTTTAAGGAAAGGAAGCAAATATAACGACTATCAAAAGAAGCAGCTGGCAGGACTGGTGCTGAGGAGAGGCACTGGTTTATGGGCAGGCTGGTGTCAGAAGCCTTACTTCTTACTGAGAAGTAAGAAAGTGGGTACCGCCAAGGAGAGGGATAGGACCCCCAGAACTTCATTTCATTCTAAGTAGTTAGCGCTGTCTTCCTGCTCCTCATATGAAGAAGAAATAAGGTTAAAATAGAGGAAACCATTCCAAGCTGGCACTCACAGAAGCTAGCAGGAGGTCAGACCTCAACCACAACACTCAAGTGTGGTTCACACTCCTCCAAGAGCCACAGAGGTGGCTCTGCAACCCTACGACGACAGGTCTGTCATGCACACACCAACAGTCTCTCCTCAGCACCAAAGGAGTGAATTAAGGAACTTCAGTATTGAAAGGCAGGTTAAGCCCTTTGTGTTTAATGCCATTGAAAAGGCAGAATTAAAAACTGGTTCAGTCATCTGTCCCCTATGCACCAAAGCAGTGATTTGGCAGGTTAGCATGCAGAACCTGCAAACGCAGGAAAGCTGTCTGCACAGAAATGGTTACTGGGACACAACCTTTGCTGCATGGCCAAGACGCCCGAAATAGGACCATCCAAGCAAAACTACAGCTTCCGAGAGATTTTTCAGAAGGACCTTCTCAGACCTTGCAACCTTCACCTGGCCCCCTTCCTTGGGCTTCACCAAGGCTGACAAATCAAAGGTTGATTTTAAATGTTCAGTGCACAAGAGACACTGTGCACTCTAGGATCTGTGAGGCGTAGACAGCCTCATTAAAAGGTATTTACAAGTCTCAAAACTGAAGATCTCTAAAACATACATCTATGCTCTATTAGAGGGGTATGGCAGGCAGGTCTACAGCTCCACAATTCAGTGAAAGATTAAGAACAAATATGCCAGGCAACAGACACTTTGTAGTGGGATATTCCCAAACTTGACCTCTTAGTATCAGGCTAATGTACACATATTAACTTAAAATTTTACGAAAAAAACCCCACTAAATGATAAGAATGACGAAAAGAAATATATAAAGTTATGTTGACCCAATGTCTTTTATTTGAAAATATCCCAACAGGTTACAACTTATAAAATAGTGCAAGAGTGAGGAATAGCTTCAGAATATAATGATAAAAAGATACCTGTTTATCTTCTTGAGGATCAGTCTCTCCTTTGCTGGAATCAGAATTTGTGTCATCATCTTCATCAGAACTGTTCATGATATCTTCTTCATCTGACTGAAGATCTCCCATTACCACGTTAGGATGATCATGGTGTTCTTCTAAGGACCTAAAATTAAAATTAAAAATTCCTATATGGACAGAAGTTTCAAAAAGCAAGAACAATGTTGACTCGCTGATATAGTTTCATGTTTAAAGCTTTGTTGTTGTATTTAGATTATAGTGAGTGGAGCAGACAGAGGCTGATGAGGTGGATTTCGGAACTAGAAAAAGTAAGTGATCATAATCGTGTGGCCATCTTACCTGTCTTCCAGCAGAAAATGCAGAACCACTGGCTTGTGCTCATGGCATGTAGTCCTTCAATGTATAAGCCTTGTGCATTCTGGCCCATACGTGTAAACTGATGTCTGTACCATGTGCCCTTCCTCCCTTTTTTCTTTTCTCATACTTTTTACATATAGACTATGTTTTTAGTCGATAAACATACCATACTTTATTTATGTGAAGAGCTTTCTGTTTTACCCCACAATAAATGGTCTACTTGGTATCAGAAACACTGAAAACAGCAGTGGGTAGTCTGAAGATGACGATGACAGTGGTAGGCTTTTCCACAGTGGGCTCATAACTCTGCGATGTTTTATCTATGCTGGTATTGATACAACGCTCACTGACAGCGAGCAAAAGCCACAATACCTTTGGAGTATTTATGTTATTCTTGTCCATCAGAGTTTGCCTGACAGCAAAGTTTGATAAATCTAGTCCCTTATTGCTATGTGCATGTATAGTGCAACATTTTTACCGTGTGCCAGAAGGATAAAGAAAGATCATAGCTGTTTTGCTCTCCTCTATCTCATAGCATCAGGACTTGTTCCAGATATGGTACTCAGACTGGAGCTTTCTGTCTGAAATTTTAGATGCATTTATATATACAGGGTTGTCTCTCAATGCATATGCTAAACAACTGCATCAGGGATGGCAATATTATAACTGTTCTGTCCAATTATTCTTAAAAACGAGAAAGCAGAATCTTTTGTGATTAAAAACTCGAATCCCCCAGAGACAGACACCTTCCTATTTTATAGCTGTCAAAGCTATAAAATATAACCTTGTTCTGCTGCTGTACAATGATTATAGAAGTCTCTTTTCATTAGTTTCAGCTGTATTTGCAACACAGAAACTGCATGAGACAGGCACACAACCTTCTTCCTCTAACTAGCCTTGACAACTTCAGTACAGATTTAAGAAATGCAACTCTAGAAGTAAATAAAAAAGCGGGTAGGGACTGTCAAAGCTATAAAATATAACCTTGTTCTGCTGCTGTACAATGATTATAGAAGTCTCTTTTCATTAGTTTCAGCTGTATTTGCAACACAGAAACTGCATGAGACAGGCACACAACCTTCTTCCTCTAACTAGCCTTGACAACTTCAGTACAGATTTAAGAAATGCAACTCTAGAAGTAAATAAAAAAGCGGGTAGGGAAAAGAAGAAACAGAGCCTGAAGTTTCGGTAAAGTTACACAGAAAGACAGTAAATCCCTGGGCTCCTACTTTTAATCCTTAAAAATATCTGATAATTGCCAATTACACTAAAGCTGTGTCTAAATTCACATAATCTGTGTTCAAGGCCTGCAAAAAGATGCCGGGATGCCACAGGCTTATTGTGATATGAGCCAAAAGTGATTAGCTACCCTACAAAACAAAAAGCAAATCCAGAAACCCTTGTCCCCAAGCTGTTGCAGCCAGCAGAGATCTCACTGTGCTGATCAACACCTAATTTTGTGCAGCCAACATCGCCGAGGCTACACACTTCTCTACGTAGCTGCCCTCTGCCTCCCTATGCAAGGGATGGTTAGGACTGATCTTTTCTTTTCCTAACTTTGAATCACAAGAAAGCAGGGATGGAGGGCAACTCTTCAGACTCACCACCTCCAACTGTGACAGTTACCAGAAAGAAAACGTGTCAGCGTGGATCCCATGGGACGTGGCTGCTGGTAACATGAATAGCAGAAGTAAGGAATACTAGCTGAGTGAGGACGCTCCGGCAGCTACAGCAAGGTGTTGATTATTCAATGCTCAAGGCAGTTTAAAAAAAAAAAAAAAAAACCAACAAAAAACCAACAACAAAACAACACACAAATGCTGATCACAAACAGAAATATATTTAGAGATGAAGACAAGGTAAGTTGGCCTGCGGACAGACTTTGGTCAGCCAGGAAGACGTAGAAAAGATTAAAATAGCTTGGTTCTATTAAGACAACACAGGAAGGATTCAGGAAACACCCAAGCAGTTACTGTCTCCCAGAACTGAGCGGGGTGGGGAGAGGAAGGAGATTGCAAGCTCAGCACCGAGTTCAAACTAGACCCTGAGCCAAGATGGCAGCACCCAGGGTGCAGAGAGACACCCAGTTATTTCAGTTTGGAAATTATCAACTTCACATGGAAAGA